TGTTCATTGTAATGTTTTATTATCCCACAAAAGTTCTTAATATCTTGGCTTATGTATTTTGTGTTGGAAGTGATAGGCGAGGAATCTGTTTCATTTACACCTAGAAAACCCAAGAATCCTTCTGTCTCTGCTACAGCCTATTGCCTACTAAGTCAGGAAGTACTGTGAACATTACACAATTTCCCAAGGATTCTGACATCACAGTCCTTGGGAAAAAATAACAAAGAAAAAAGTCCATGTACCATATAAATAATTATAAACCCATGCAATATTCTATTCTATTCTGCAATAACCTTTTAGTTCTCAAAATGAGCTGTACAAAGCATGAACTAATTTAAGATTTATATGGAAGCACTCAGCTGAACTGGATTTTAATGGCAAAACTGTGCATATTATGCTTGGCAGTGGAAGGATTTCATTTCGGCGTCTCTTTGCTCTGTTAGTTGAAACTGCACAACCAGATTGGTGCCTCAATATGCCTGGTGATACGGGTTGGCTGTTATGTACCTTGACTCAGGCAGAAAAACTGGCACTTCTCCTGCTTTTATCAGGCCAGAAGTTTGAAGTATCTGAGTTGACACTACCTTCCTTTTAGCGAGGAGGTAAAATAAAGGGAGGTTTTATGAGAACCATTTGCCATGCAGATCTGGAAGCAAGTCAACAGGAGAATCAAACAGGTCCTGTGTTTAGCCAGTGATGACAAGAAGCAGAACAATTTGTAATCAAAATACTATATTCTATTCTGTTTAAATATTAATAGTTCCAGCATGTTATATCAAGCTAATGTTTACTTGCTTGTCACATGCAAGAATCAAACAGAGATAATTCAGTGAAATCAGATGGGTAACAGGATAGCCTGATTTAAAAGCCATCACTATTTCATATGTAAGGAAGAAGAGCAAGAAAAATAAAAGCAAGACAACATGGAGTCATGGAGTCACAGAATCAGCCAGGTTGGAAAAGGCCTTTAAGACCATTAAGCCCAACTGTTCCACAGCACTGCCAAGGCCACCACAAACCGATGTCACTGAGGGCCTCACCTGCACAGTTTGGGAACACTTCCAGGGACAGTGACCCCACCACTGCCCTGGGCAGCCTGTTCCAACGCCTGACCACCCTTTGGGGGAAGGAAATATTCCTAATACCCAGCCTAAAACTCTCCTGGCACAGCTTAAGGCTGCTTCCTCTTGCCCTATCCCTTGTTCCTTGGGACAGGAGACCAGCATGGGCCAGCAGAGATAAGGACAGTAACAGATTATTTTTCTTTTAATTGGCAAGAAAAATATCACTAACATGGCACTGGTCTGGTATTATATGGAAACAGCAGAAGAGTCAATTAAGATGCAGGAAAACTAGGGCCAAGTAGTGATTATTCTGCTTTATATTTGGAAAACCAACAGCTAATATGGTTGTACAGCTTCCTTCATAAGCTGTTATCTTTAACTGTATCAACAGAACCTTGCAAAAAGGCAGGTTTTAAAGCACTGCCATCCCTATATATACACATTTACTTCTGCAGCATTCACTGTGGTCTCTTGGGAAAGTAGATTATATTTACACTTGAAAAGCAAGTCTGAAATCTTCCTACCTGACCAGAAAAGTTAGCTCTCAGAGAAGTGATGTAACTCCCATTTAAAACCTCTTGTAAGCCAGAACAGTGTAAACCTTTACAGTATAAGCCTAAAATACCAGGCACTTACACAGCCCTTGCCAACTACAACTGTGAAGAACACAGAAAGCATTTGTTTTTATGCGTATACTTTCGTATATACATGGATACAAAATTCTACCATGCTTAGGAGCTTTTCTAACTTATGTTCACCTGTATCTGTTCTCAAGGATCTCAGGAGTGCAGTGCATGCTGCTCATGCTGCCTCCCAGCCTCAAAATGCAGATGTAGTTAGCTATCTACCCAGCTGGAAAATATTTATGATTTATTTACAATTAAGAATGATTTATTCTGCTCCAGTCCCACAGAATTCCAGGATGAGAATGGGCCATGATTTGTATTTGGCACCTGATTTGATTGTATTTTTCAGCTTGACAGCTACGGGTAGGAGCTTTGCTGTGAGAAACCAGAATTAATATCTTAATCCTTGACAGGAAGTGAAATACAGATTAATGATTTTGATTGCAATTAAGCCTTTTTGGTTACACAGCGTGGCTTATCCTGGAGATGAGTCAGAGCAGTATGGAAGGACACTGCTATTACAGGACTTCAGTTTTGCTGGCTTCACAAGCACAAGGACGCATTTTGAAGGCAGCAATCTAGGATCTACATCCAAACAAAACTGCTCGTGTCTGCCACTTGGGACTTCTTCAGCCTTCCACGACCCTTCATCCCAAGCATCTCAGTTTATCCGAGAGCCACACTAAACCATCTCGCCCAAGGCTCTGTCCAACCTGGCCTTGAACACGGCCAGGGATGGAGCATTTACCACTTCTCTGGGCAACCTGTGCCAGCGCCTCAGCACCCTCACAGTAAAGAACTTCTTCCTTATATCTAACCTGAACTTCCCTTGTTTCAGTTTGAACCCATCACCCCTTGTCCTATCACTACAATCCCTGATTTTAGTTTTTGTCTGTTGGAAAAACTGTCCATGCTAAGTTAATTATGAGATTTATTGATACAGAGATGTACCATTTTCCCTTCCATAGACAAAGGAAAAAAATCATTTCCATGGCATCTTTACGAGAAAAATCAGCCTAAAATAATTTAATTTAGCACTAGAATTCACACAAAATTACCTCTCAGGACTCCTACTCCCATCAGGTCACCTAAGAGACAGAAAAAGTGTTACATATCTCTTTCTCCTGGATTTGGAAATCTTTTAGCTACATGTTTATAAACCCTGCTCTGATCCTCTTCACTTTGTACAATAGAAGTGATATGAAATACAACACAGTAAGATGATAGAAACTGTAAACTAATTTAGAGTAGGCAACAGGTACATAATATCTAATTAGCCTGCAATATACCAAGAGCAGTCGGTTAAAGTTTGCTGTCTTGCAGGCACTGCAGACCTCTGCACTGAAATGTATTAAAACCCCCTGCATTTCAGTAGATTCAATGTGCAAGTCCAGTGACATGGGTAACAGTGTTACTATTAATACCACTAATAACCACGTTACTGTGCATGTCATCATCCCCAAACTGACACACATGTACACGTCATATGTTCAAACATCATTAAATGTCGGGAATCTCATTTACAGTCTGCCTAAAAAAGAATATGCTCTTGTGGAAATGCCAGCATGTTGAATCCTACCACAGAGAAAAGAATTGGTATGCGGTGAAGACAGAAATGCTCTCAGAAGAACATTTCACAACCTTGTTTCCTCTGCTAAACTCAGATTCGTTTCTCCTTGCTGTAGTGAAAACTCTGAAAGCACAAGCTGCACATGTACTTTAGGTGAATGCTCAGGAGCAAATTCTGCCCAGAGAGGCAGGATCTTAATGCTCGTGGCAACACGATCAATCTTCTAATTCGCTACAGCCAGAACGGAAACTGAGTCCAAGCAAAAGGTCAGAACAGGCATTTTATATTCTCTGTTAAAGGAGGGAAGGAAAAAAAAAATGTCCTTGAGGAGTAAAGTAAGTAGCTAATGAGACACAGCACTGACAGCTGGAATTTAATAGGTATCCACTTCACAAGCAAAATTGCTCTTAGTAATTAAATACAGGTATCATACAAAGCTGCTGCTCAGAGCTAGACTTCAAAATCTTTCTGTCAGTAGGACTGAAGAGGTTTCATATACCAGGTAATATAAGGGCGAGTTTGCCTGGGAGGCTAGTCCTAAACGAAGAGGGTTAATTGCATAAAATTCACAGTCATGTCAGTGGTAAATAATTCCAAAGGGACTTGTTCAGATAGTAGTCTGGCATTACTGAAAAACAGACTACAACTAAAAAGACCTGTTATACAGTCCACCAAAGCCTGAGACACATAAAAAGTTTATTAGTCATTGCAGGACTAAAATGCAAACAAGATCTTTTTAGAGGGATCCAAAATTCTTTATGCTCCAGGTCTGTAGGGCCATAAAACTACCTGAGAAAATTTTAAACAATCTTCTAATTAATCACAGGATTTTATAAGTTCTCGCAAACTGTAAGTAAAACATTAACAAAGTAGGAGGAAGTACTCTTTGCATAAGCATGGTTGCTAACGCTGTTGACATGCCCCACTAGATGAACCTGGGTAGAATTTAACATCAAACTGAGATTATAATGGATACAAGCACACAGAGATGGGGTTTCATTTATAGGACCGCATTCCTATAAACAAAGGTGTAAGTCTCTCAATTCCTGGGAGTATCTGAGCAGGATTTAATTATTTTTCTGTAATTTGTGACACCACCATCAAAATACGACCACATAACATATAGAATCATAGAATGGTTTGGGTTGAAAAGGACCTTAAGATCATCCAGTTCCAACCTCCTGCCATTGGCAGGGATGCCTCACGCTAGACCATGCCATCCAAGGCTCTGTCCAACCTGGCCTTGAACACTGCCAAGGATGGAGCACTTACCACTTCTCTGGGCATCCTGTGCCACTGCCTCACCACCCTCACAGTAAAGAACTTCTTCCTTATATCCAGCCTGAACTTCCCCTGTTTCTGTCTGAATCCATTATCCCCTGTCCTGTTCCTACAGTCCCTGATGAAGAGTCCCTCTCCAGCATCCTTGTAGGCCCCCTTCAGATACTGGAAGCTGCTCTGAGGTCTCCACACAGCTTCTCTTCTCCAGGATGAACAGCCCCAGCTTTCTCATACTTTACATAATAAAACTCATACCCCTGGAAAGATATCTTCACCTTTACTTGATCAGCAGTCCAAAAGAACATTGCTGGTATCACATAAAGAAACCAGCTGAAGCACCTAGAGGGTCAAGTGCTTTTACCAGCTATATCCACTTACTCAGGTGTGCATAACAATCACACAGCTGCATGTGCTTCAGAGTAAAAGAACAGCGACTTTGCAATACATATTTTCACCTACCTCATAGTACATAGGCACATCTGTAACCTTTTTTCCCTTCTGATTCCCTGAATCTCTGATCTGCAAGAAAATAAAGCATTCTACTGTGAGAAGATTGGAAGTTTACACATATTATTTTACTCATTATTCTCTCTTACAAACACTACACTCACACTCCAAAACACGAGGAATCATCTTATGGTACCCCTGTACCTTAGTGAGGGAGTTTTTGTGTTCAGGAGCTTGGAGAAAAGTCTGCAACAAAACCTCACTACTTACAAGGAACAGACCAACTTTGACAGTAAACTTTTCTTTTTCCATTTTTTAACCCCTATGAACTACTGTAACTTTTAAACCTTCCACATTGAATATTGACCTTCAATTGAATATTGAATACAAAATGTATAGTGACCATAGACTGAAGAAGTGAGTATACAGAAGTGAGATTCAGGGTTTGGTTTGTTATCAAAAGTTCCTTTCTTGGAATACCTGTGTGAGAATGTCTTCACGTGTTACGACGCTGAAGAGCTTCCGCTGTGGCACCCGCACAGCAAGAGACAGGGCCTTGGTGTGGATTTCATCCTCAGTTCTGCTCCCAACAACAAAAGCAATGCTAGGCTTCCAATCATCCTGTTTTCCAAAATAAAACATTTCAGGTGTTAAACCTCAAGCAGACAAAACTGCTTCTCTGCAGTTTCAAGGACTAATCCTGTAGAGATGGTTACTGCCTTTAAGATGTATTAAACATCACTGTATTAATCACATCGAAATAAAATGTATAAAACCCGAGAAAGCACGCACTACATTGTCCCAACTGTCTCTGCCATCAGGTGGCAGCATTATCCTATGAAAACCCCAAACGCCAACTAACAACCTCTACAAACCTCAGCGGCTGCATTACCATCACGCAAAAAGAAAGTAACTTTTAAATGTCATTTGACAGTTCAGTAAGCAAACAAGAAGTGAACTTTCAAAATATGCATTATTGCCATTGAACATTATTGTGATTATTTGCTGTAGTAATAGTAATACTAGTAATAATAATAGTAGTAGTAGTAATAATAATTTCCCAGCTCCCTCATGCAGGGAATCAGACAATGCCCACACACTAACTCCTAAAGACTGTAGCATTATTTGTATGATGTTTTATGAAGCTTTAATTATGCACAACATAGTTCTTGGACGTTTTCACCAAGTATTGTGAACTAAGAAAAATAATTTTTCAAAGGCAAATTATATTTCACTGTAGGAATTGACAGGTTAAAACCACTAGGAGCTGTCAAACATTTGCAGTAAAATAGACAAATTTTAATGAAAATGATCTGATTTTAGCACTACAGAAATGCAAAACAAGACAAGATTGGAATACATCATTTAGTGGTATCCATCTGCAAAACCTTCCAAATGTTATTGCAGCAACTTTTCTGGCTACTCTTCTTCCCCATTTCTTGTGCTTGAGCCTACTGTAATCCCTTTCACAAAGTGAGTGGCTATCTCCAGCACATCTACATCTGACTTCAGTCTTCTTTATCAGCATCAGTGGCAGCTGAACCATAAGCACTTCCAAGGGTTGTACTCTACATCAAATCACGTGTAAACTGCAAGCTACCAATAAAACTGCATAAAGGTGAATATGGAAAGAGCTTCAGTAGCTCCAGGTAGTCTCAAGGTGGTGTCACACTGATCAGGACCAGGCTAAGCAGATTCACATACTACTTTAGCAGGGAAAGGTTTGAAAGACAAATTTCAGAGAGGGTTCTAACTCTAGGATTTTGATGGAAATATTTTCATATGTGTGTATTACGTACAAAGTCCTTATGGAAAAGAGGAACAAAACCTGAATTGATGGTAAAGAGAGGGAAAGGATGGTTCCAAAACAAAGTTAGATGTAAATGATAGAAGGAGAAATTTCTTTTTCCAGTTTTACTATACCCTTCTTCATGTGTTCCTTCTCTTCGCTGAAAAAAAGGCCTTCCTAAATGTTTGCAATTTGAGTCACTGATGACTTGGGATGAGAGAAAGCAACAGTTGGCATAAGTTTCAAACTAGTAAATGCTTGCACGGAGGGAAACCGTCATACTCTTAAGATATCAAAGCATAACATCACGTGTAGATGGCATGACATGATTGTAGATGTATATGCAGATGGCATGACATACAAGGAAAAGATCACCTGCATTGCTAAGGGTAATCTTCTGAAACTGCAAGTAGCCACTGGTAGATACTTAACCCAAAAGGGCTCCATAGTTCCACACATATACTTCCTTAATGTTTTATAGCAGCATAAAAGAAACTTTCAACTTTTTAAATGCAGGACAGTGCAAGCAGATTGCTGATGCTTTAGAAGCATGCAAACATGATGGAATTCATGAGAGTGTCCCACTGACCTGAGGCAGCAAGCACTGCTCAATGGAGAAGTGGCAGCAACAATGGCCTGTATAGGGACTATACACTGTATTTCTTCCCCCTCCTTCTACTTGGGGGGTGACAACAATACCTTCTCCTTCTTAAAGTTGCCAAGACAGCTACTGGTGCACAGCACTATAAAACAACTAGATATTATGATATTATCATCAAAACACACGCACAGGAGTTGCAGTTAAAGTTGTCATATACAATGAATTCATTAAATTAAAAGTTGTCATTGTATATTTGCCAAGAACTGGACAGAAAACTTTGCCATTCTTTGAACAGAGAGCACTTCCTTGTGTACAAATGCACAATTCTCCACACTTTCAGAACTGAGATTGAAATGCCCCTGTGTGGCAGTGTCATGGTGTTCCTAGGGCTCACCACCTTTGAACAGTCATCCATCCATGACATGGGCTAATGAAACAACTGATACCACTACGCTCTTTGCTGAGGACCACCAAGAAGGGAACTGGGCCCAGGAAGTCCCACAGACAGATGCTGACAGCACAAGAGCAGCAAGACTCAGGAATGTCAGGTTCTAATCTAGATGCTAGAAATATGGTCCAACACCAATATAGAGCCCACCTCCACAACTTCCTGCAGTTCTTCAGATATACAAAGAAATCTCCCTCAGAGCATCCTAAAACTTCTGCCTTATGCCTTCTTCAGTTCCTCCTTAAAACATGCTGGTATCTTGGTACCCACAAATTAAACCTGCTAGTACTGATTAACACTATCCTGCAACAATGTTTGTGAAACCTGTTTCCCTATAGTCTTGTCTCTTCTTGATCTTTCTATCCCTTAGTCGCAACTGTCCCTATCTCATTTCTCTTTCCATTTCCACTCTGTTCCTCATCTGAGTCCCACGGCTTCTTGTAATGCTTCCTGCCATCTGTGCATTCCTTGATCCCCTAGTTCTCATCCTCAGTCTCCTTGTCCAGCTAATCCCTAGTTTTAGAATCTAATCTCACTTCCAGCTTCCTCCATCTCCAGGTTCCTTCTCCAAACCTTTATTCTCTAGCCCCTCTAATGCTTCCCAAGCACTTCAGAGTTCTGTTTAAGCAAGGAGACTCTTCTTCACATTATTTATGCAGTCCTTAGAAAGGCATTACAGGCAATGGAGAGAGAATTTTCCTGATTTCCCTAGCTGCAAAATAACTAAAAATATATTGTTTTTATTAAAAAGGTACAATACCTGGGAAATGGAGCTAGAGAAATACCAAAATCAGCTACACACCAGAGAACAATCCAGAATTCCCACTCATCTGTTTCTAGACTGACTGATTATGAAGCCCTTTCAGAAGGGCTGAATATTGGGAACAGCAACTGAAGTCACTAAGCACAGTGAATGTGCAGCGTTAGTATATAGTTTAAGGTGTTTAATTGACTATGCTCTTTTATGACCTTAAAAATTATTATTTTTGCAATATTGCCCTTATATTATCAATATTGTAACAGTATCCTTAATGTTCAAGGCACTGAAAGGCTAGAGAAGAAACAGACCCTGCTTCTACAGCTCACCACCTAAAATCACAACATAAAAATGAGAAGAAAAAGTAGTAAAACGTATACGGTTACTTTAAAAATATTTTCTCCCTCAATATACAACTGCTCCTCTACTTAGTTTAATTCTTTCAAATGTTATTGTAGAAGTGAGACCTGAGAAAGGATCTGAAAGAGGATAGATTAGTGACCCTAAGGCTACCTCAACTGAGGTTCCCAGCTTAAAGTACATAGAAATAACTACTGAAAAGCATGGAAACAGCCTAAGGAGGCTGCCATCCAGAGTATAGCCCAAGCACTATGTACTGTGAAAAATGACTACCAAAATGCAGGGAGTAGACAGCCCACAGAATCAACAATGCTGATTCAAGCACCAATGGGAGAAAAAATGAAGCTGGAAACATGGTGTTGGTAACCGAATACTCCTTAAACCATCTGCACCAAGCTCCACTTCAGGGGAGGCCAGACCGCTCTCACTGTAAAACATCCAGTGACAATCACTGTCACACATGACACTGTCACCACCCCGTTTTAAAACTCTTAGCCACGGCAACAGTTGAAATGCACTGAAGTCTTCCCCTGTGTTAGAAATAACCACCTATGTGGGAAGCTTGTACGTCCCTCAGGTGAAGAGGCTCCAATCCCAGCAAGACCCCCCTAACTCTGAAAGCTCCAAGTAAGCAGCTAGCAGTTTTCCAAACTCCTCGTTTTCACAAACGAGTTTTTCATCTTCTCCTGACTTAGTTGTCAAGGCTTCATTGTGTTCCTCTGTAACGTGATTTTCCCAACTGTTAAAAACCAGTACACATAGCCTACATCTCTTGTTTGCCACAGAGCTATTGGAATATCAAGGGTATGGTAAAAAAGAAATCCAGCTTCGCATTGGATAAAAAAAAACCACACAACAATAGCTTACAAAATTTTGTTTCCTTTTTAAACACATCTCGTTTTCTCTGCTTCATTTCCTAGCACAAAAGGGCAGCAGCTCTAGACAAGGCATTTGAACAAGTCAGCTCTATTGTTTATTTCTGCAGTACCAGTTCCTAGACCTCTGCCCAGGAAAAGCATCAAGCAGACATCAAACACCCCACTGCCATTTCCAAGCAATCTAAGTAACCATCATTTTGCAGCATAATTTATGCTTATAGTATTTAATGGTGAGGTTTTGTTCGGCTTTTTGTTGGTTAGTTTTTACTTAGTTTGTTCTGTTTGTTTTGGTGTTTTTTTTTTCCTTAGGCTCACAACTAATAGCTCCATTTCACTGCAGCACAATTCCAAATCTAACAGTAACAGCTGAAGAGAAACAGTTGAAAACTGAATTTCCAAGCATCTGAGCATCAAACAGCAAGAGTTTTTTAATCTGATTGTTTCCTTAGAAATCATGAGATTAATTAGTGATTTCTGAACACTAAGGACAATATTACACCTAGCACTCTTCACTGTAACAATGCGGGGGGGAGCTTGCAAATCAGTAGACCATAGAATCATAGAACGGTTAGGGCTGGAAAGGACCTTAAGATCATCTAGTTCCAACCCCCTGCATTGCTGGGAGAGGTTGCTCCTCAGGGATTCTGTAGCTTTAACATAGTAACTGTGTAGGGCATCACTGCTCAGAAACCTGCAAGTCCATTTTCATTACCTGCTGACTGGCATACACCTGGATTACTAAGGGATTCTGATTTTAAGACACTGAGCTTTTGCTGTATAATCTGGGCAGGTTAAAGACTATCAAAGCTCAGCTGAATATTAATTTCAGCAATATGAATAGTTATGAAAAGTGAAGCCACCCCATTTAGTACATTTTTAATGGTTTTACAAGGTTGAATTTCAGTTCAATTTGAGGGCCCTAAAATGCTAGTAAACTGAGAGAAACTATGCAGATGGCAGGTCTGAGCAGAATGTGGCTTCCAGGTGCTATGAGTAGTTACACTAGATAATAAGAACATGATAGATAGCAGTTATTTTAATCAAGGGCTGTATTTGCCCAGAATTTAACTTTCCCTTAGCAAACATCACCCCTGAACTACTTAAAACATGCAGAGTTTCAAACTAAGAATTTTAATTTATATTTTGTAACTTAATCCTGCAGTGAAGCCAATCAAAATATCTTAATATCTGGCGGCAAATACAGCTTGCAGACCCACGTTCTTCTGTGTAGCACACTGCAAACAACGCAATTTATATAAACTATAATATGGGGCTCTGCAAAATCCATATTTCCTCTGTACATGGTTTTAAGCTGTCTGTTTGCCAGTTTTTACAGTGTGTTTAGTAAAAGCAATTATTTGGTTAGTAAATACCATTTAAATCATATTTTAGTTAGCATTCCCGTCCATAAAATCTTAACACCACTGGTAAAATGACTCCTTTTCATAGATCAGACTAATAAAATATTGCAAGTCATAAACACACATTAAAATGTGAAATTTCATTGCTCGGTCTATCTGGTACAATTTAAAACCAGTTCTAGTAAATTCCGTTTGACTCCACTAAAGGGAAAGAATATTTTCTAAATTGATACAAGTAAAAGATCTAAAATTCCTTAGACATGAATCACAAAGAGAAATTTGTTTAATTGATAGGAGTTCCTGTCATCTCCCAAGTAATTTCAGATTCATATCATGTACACACGTATCATGTATATCGCATACAACTATCGAGCAGGAGTAAGAAATAATTGTGTGCACTGTGTCTGATGACACCTAGAATTAAAGATGCTCAACACTCTCTTTTACAGGCTGCTTTCAGTTCCTGAGCTTTATATATTCACGTTTAAATCTTGTACGCTATACAAGTACCAGGGCAGGGTAGGGTAGGGATAGTACGGTTGGACTATTTGCAGAATGAGATTTGATTTTTAACAACCACATTTATCCTTTAATAAACCCCCCCATGTGATTAAGTTATTAAGATATTCAATTCCCTCCATGTTCAAGAGGAAGGAACTAAATTTGGCAGCTCAGCCATACTCATTTCAAAGATGTGCTTTCACAGAGCATGTTTATTTACATTAAGTATACCCACATTTGGCCATACTTGATGAATCTCAAGTCACAGAATCCTTGCTCATAACAGATTTGTTGGCATTTGCCAGTTTTGCGCTGAGCTCCTGCCCATGACTGTAAGAGCTGAATAAGACTTTTCCTGCAGTAAGAAATGTCAGTGGCTGCTCAGCATCAAAGAAACCTGAGTTCAAGCTGACTGCAGCAGGGAGACAGTTCTGCCCATGCTCCCAAGACTTCTGCTACAGCGAGACAGAGAAAGTGGAATTAGCTTAACTGGAACAGAAAACAGTTGGACAATAAGAGAACTAAGGAACCAAGGAATCTGAATTCAGTCCCCATGGGTACAGGCATTATGATAATCTTGAATTAGGTGATCACATTTCCCCTCCCTCCCCCTTACAGAATTCTTGCCCTATTCAGTGAACATTTGAACATTTCTTTCCATCTGCCTCAATGCATGGTCCTGAATAATCCTAATTCTGGCATTTTGAACAATTTATCTCCTACCTTTTAAAATACTTCAGTACAATGGCTTGCATTTACCAAATGTAATAAATTTCACACAGCAGCAGCAGGGCAAACAAAGCACTTTGTTCTACAAATTCACTGGTCAATATCCACAACCACAGTAAACACCCCCATAAAGAAAAAATATCACTAATTGGCACCTCGCTATGCTAGTAAGCATGGGAGAAAGGCCAGGAACTAAGGAGGTGATGGAGACTAAACCTCCATCCCCTTCTCATGCTTCAGGGAGGCTCTCCTAAGGTATGGGAGAGATTCATAAGCAAGAAATAGCTCAAGCACCTTAGAACTCTACTGAAAAAACTATGTTTTAGGGAAAAGAAAGGAAACAATGGCCTTAGCAGCTTACTTCAAAAAGTGATTTGCTTTGGCTAAACTTGTACTATACAGTTACTACCAAATGAAAGTAAAAGCAACTCAGTATTTAAGAGATTTTTGGACATCTGTGGCAACCAATTAGCCAGTTTAAAAGCCTCCTCCTGAACTCAAGAGCTCCTCGTACATCAATCAAAACTGCTGGCATGTTAAAAAAACAAAGAAAAAAAAAAAAACCAACCAAAACCACAGCAACAAGAAAAAAAAACCTTTTTTTTTTCTTTTTTTCAACAGGGCATAACAGAACCCATGGCACAAGGAAGCCATGGAAGTCATTTGTCTCACTTGCAGCAGCAGCCCTAGATAAACACACACGAGGTAAATATTATTGTTTGCTAAACTCCTACCCTATTTTGAAACTAAATTCTCTCTTGCAAGTCAGGATTTATTAGAGTTACATTGCTTACACAGAACCTGGAAACCTAAACATGCCTTGAGATCCTTGCAGGCTGTAAAAGAAAATAAAGAAAAAGGGGGAAAAGCGCCTTTTAGCTGCACACACTCAAGCAGGAAAATTACAGCCTCCCATTTTCAACGCTACAGTTAATGCTGTGTCAGCACCTCCATCAAACCTCGCTGTTCAGCAGTTTATGAGAAGTTCACTCCGAGCCGAAACTTGGCACCCAGAGCCCCAGGAAGAGAAGCACCGAGGAGGGAAAGCAAGAAACACGCTGGGTCGGGTCGGGTCGGGTCGGGTCTGCTCCGCTCCCCGGAGGCACCCCACCGGACCCCCAGCAGCTACGCTGCGACCACCACGCCAGCAGAGCGGCGAGGGCTGCCTCCGCCCTCATCCCCCCTCCCCCTCCACCTTCAAGCCCCAGGGCCCGCCCTCCCCTCGGCCGCCTTCACCTCCTCGAGGTGGGCGGACACCAGCGCGGCCTCCCAGTTCTTGCCCACGGTCACTGCCGGGGCGACCGCATCGGTTTTAGGCCGCTTCGGACCCATGGCGGTGCGGTGCGGTGCGATGCGGTGCGGGCGGCAGAGCAGGTCCCACGCGTCGCCCTAGCGACCGGCTCCCGGAGGGCGTCGCCTTCCGGCCGGGCCGCTCTGGTGGTAGCGGGTGAACAGCTCCGCGGCAGGGCCTGGGCCCGACTTGGGGCCGCTGCGGCGAAGCGGTACCGGGGTTTCTGTAGGGGCGGCAGGAGCTGCGCTGGTTTTCGGACATTGGCATCGTGGTGTGCCGCCCGGGCGGGCAGCTGCGGCCGCCTCCTGCATGGATGCCTAAAGGCGAGGCTCCGGTGGGGCTGCACGGGGAGGGCTGGAGCCGCTCCCCGAGTCCCGGAGTTACCAAGTTAAATGTGACACCCCAGGGGCTGCACGAAACCGGGCACCGGCGGCTAGCGGTGTGCCTGGGGAGGTGCTGCCGCGGGCCTGGAGCATGACCCGAACGCAGGTGTGGGCAGGCAGCCTGCTCGCAGGCCGAAATCACTCCCCAAACATTACCATATGTTACAGCGCCGGGACCAGAAGGGGAGAGGGAGGCACAGTTGGGAGAAAGCAGGAGAGTTGCCAAGATAAAGAATTCATTACAGAAGGAGTCATGTCGTGATCTCACACTGGAGACGAGTGAAATATTCTGTGTGATTTAACATTTGGTGAAAATACCCCAAACCACATGCTGCCCTTCCCCCAGCCCCTTCTACCGACCGGGGTTGCTCGGAGCCTCCAAATCTTTAGTTTAATTTCATCGGAGCCTTAAAGCCTTGTTGTGCAGTGCATTGTTGCTCTAGTCAATTTCAGTGTGGGATGAAACCGACCTAGTGTATGCGCTGAATAAAACACCTTTGGTTACACGGTTTTAGTGGAGAAGTAGGAATTTCACATGGGACGTAACAGGCAAGTTTCACATCATCTTAGTTTGCAGAAGGCTATCGTCCCTGGGTTTGCAGACAGTGATGTAGTTTATAACATGGGAAAGCTGCACAGTAGATTTGCCAACACCCATAAACATTTTCCCCCACCCTGTTTCTTGGCTGGTGTCCATTTTTCTCTTTTTGAGTTTTTCTTTTGTTGTCCAGAAGAAAAATCAGACTTCAGTTGTTCACAGAAACAGGCAGTGCGACATTCCCACCATGCCCTTGTTCTTCATTGAAGTTCTGGATAAGCAGCCTGTGCCTGCTGAGATGCAGCAACAGAGCACGGGAACAGGGCAGGATCACCAGCTGATGCTGCACAACAGGGCAGAGGTGCAGGGCAGAAGGCACAGATAATAGTGCCAAAGAAATATCCTTACTGTGAACCACCCTTCTGCTTTTTCATGGCTCAGCTTTTAGGGCTGGCTGAAAGCTTCAGGAGGACCAATGGTAGAGGGTTGTGCACCCATATCCTGATGGTATGGCTGGAAATATGCACTACCACGATGTCCATGGGAGATGACAGCTGCTTAATGATGCCCACACTTGGATAGGTATGCTCGGGTCTGTTAGTTTAAAAACTAGCAAGACTGATGTCAGCTACAAACAGCTGTGAGAACATTAACAATGGCTGTGAGAACCATGAACTAGCCTGTTTGTTGTGTGTTTGCTTGGATGCATAAATATTATTTAAAGGAAATTGCTTTGTTCTGCTGTTTGTTGCCTTAGTAAAGGCATCTTGATAACTTGCATAATGACATGCTGTAGCAGATAGCAAGTTGAGCTGAAGTAGGGCAGCCAATGACAAGGAGCTTATACCAGTTCATTTAAAATTACCTTCACCACTCCCCCAAACAAAGGAGAGAAAGAAATTGTATTTATTCTTTATTACAAAGGGTCCTAGTGTATAGTCCTGATACATGCTCTCCAGTAGTAAAGTCAGCTAAAGACGTCTCCTGTTTGGCTTCTTGTCCGTCTGTTCAGTTGTGCTGCCAGAGATGCTTGCACTCCAAGCTGTAAACTAGATCACTGAAGCACTTTTGGTTAAATCCTCCAAAAGACAAAAGAGACAAATTACAAATATTGGGAAACTACAGCCTTTGTTTCTTCCAGATGGTCTGGACTGAAAAACACCCAGGTGTCACTGGGCCATCTGAAAACCTTCAGCTTCCTTCTGATACCTAAAAGATAAAGTTGCTGCAATCTTAAAACTTGTACTGGCAAAACTGAATGTAATTCAACTCGACCAATAAGCTGCAGATGAGAGGAATAGGCAAACTGAGGATCCAGAGAGACAGTACACAGTTTGGTGTGCCTCCTGCATAAAAAAGAAGTGTGCAGATGTAAGCCTGACATTTCCATGTAACAAAATTAGGTCTACCATTAGTGCAAGAGTTAATAAGCCTATCTGTGATGACTGTGCATATGACAAGAACATTTATGTTGAGATTTTCAGAGAGTGGCAACCTAAAAATCATAAAGTCAGGCTTTTCTGGCTTATTAAAAACCCATTGTTTGTGAATATGTAAGTGGAGTTGCCAAAGCCATGAGCTTGCAATACACTTGCAAGTCTGAATAATACTCTGTGTAAACTAAAGGTCGCTTGCCTTTCTCTGGGCAGAATACAAGCCTGTGTATTCTGAATTTACACAGCAGGGTAAGAAAGCATGCATGGTTAGTACTGTGGAGCAGCTAGACACAGTAACATGCTACCTTTTATTTTAAGGTGACTTAGAGAACATTTACACTTACTTGTTCTCCAGTAAAGTGTGGGCGATGGAAAGGCATTACTAGTTGTAAAAGTCATGTCTTCTCCACTTGATATTTCCTGAAAGGCTGCATTTGACTAAAGAACTAGTAAAGACTTTGAATCTTAAGTATTTAATTGACTGAGGGGGGAATTAATTTTAATTGCGCTTTTGCTTTTTGGTTTTTAAATGCTTATTTTAAATCCTTGACAAATACTTGGAAAAAATACTTTTCAGTAAGAACCATCAACTTCTCGCATTCAGTTGAGAAGTGAGCAGAGTCCGCTTTGCTTGAGCCCTTAAGAACACGCTTAATTGCTTTATATTGCTTTCATAAGGTTTAAATGCTTCTTAAATGTGGAGGCTTCCTGACTTATGTCTTCAGAAAGCTGTTTCCGTTTTAGAACACTTTCCAGAAGGTTGTGTAGAGCAGCTAACATGGCCTTCAGCACTGCTAACAAAAACACTCCTTCATATTCCATACATTTCTAAAAGAAACAAGGAATATCAAGAGAGAACACTGTTCAGTCCCTTTTCCCTCAAAAACGAAGAAGGGGAAGACCATAAAACTCACTTTCCTTTCCTGTTTCATAGCACTGCAGCATCTGGGCTGGGAACAGCTTTTGCTTGATGTTTGCAACCCCCCAGGTTACAACCATCTCACAAGTTACACAGATTTGGCAGCTCTGCCATGTGTTTCCACAGCCTCTCTGAACTCTCTCATACCAATTTGAACGTAGGAGGTCTTTGCCTGCAGTTGCTGCTCTGGCCACCAAATGATCCCTTATAGTTTATTTTTCAGCCTCTACATTGGGTTATATAATTTGCATAAAGCTTCCCACATGGACTGCATTGGCCTTGTGGATGCAAACCAAATATCTGTCTTAGCTTTATGATCTAGAAAGCTTATTCCTGCATCATCAAATTATAAGTGCATGTGCCCTGAAAGGGACAAAGGCTAAGCTGAGTGTAAATATATTAATGTAGTCCACTTCTGAGTGTGGCATGCTATGCCTGTCATTTTCCTAGCACCAAGGTCAATAATTTCTTAGTTAAGACCAAGTTCTAACCAGAATTATACAATAAAATAAACTCTTCTCCTCAGATTCTAATAAGATAAGGTAGCTAAACGCTTGCTGAACTGTGAGAACAGGCAGGGATGCTTAGAGAGAAAGGGAGCAACTAAAGTGTGAAGACAACACAATTCAATCAAGTCCATCCACCACATGGCAAGGCCTTCCCTCTGATGCACAGATCAATGGACCTTGCCTATTTAAGCCTGTCTGTGTAATAACATGGCCAAAAATCAAAGCAAGTTGTATCTTCTTCCTCTGAATCTAGCATTTAGTGTTGGCCTGGCCACTCACTGTTTTTTCTTCACTCAAATATTTCCCATCAAGCTGAGTTACAAATATGTGTAACCTCTGTTGTTTATCACAAGCGTAACATGAAGAACAGATCAAACTCCCTTTGTACATGCAAATAAGTTTACATTTAAGAGTCTCCACAAACTTCATTTTACAGGGGGAAGGGGGTGTGAGGGAGGGGAGGAAGTCTTACAAGGCCCTGCATTTAATTTTGGAAAAGATGCTTTCACAGTCTGCTCTCCCATGTGCATGCATGTGCAGGGCAAATGCTTTTTCCTGTCAATAGCCAATGGTATAAGGATTCCTGGCAAAGCTCAAAATGAAATCCATTATCATCTGTCAGTAAAACAACTTCCAAATTCCAGCTGGATGCTGTGCAACAGCCTCTTGAAAGAAAGACTCCCTCTGCATTTGGAATTGTAGTTCTACTGTCTCTAGGTAACTGAATTTTGGAAGCAGTTCAGTGCTGCCAGTCAGCAAAAAAATCCAGTTTCAGCTATCTCAAGCTTTATTCCTGCCCCTTTCCAAAACAGATCACAGGGTTTTATTCTTATCCCTGAAGAAAGAAATCCAAAGAAAACATTTTCCCACCCTTACAGAAAGCCAAATTCCCCACTTCCACTGCATTCTCTTGCACTTTCAAATCCTATATCGTTGCCTGCTTTTTTCTGGCACAAAAGTACTTTCCCTGATGTTGGAGGGCCCTCCAGGGAGATCTGCTTCTGTAGCACTCCCCACTCCTACCACTGTCGAGAAAGGGAGTCTTACGCAGTGGTGCAACACCATGGAGGGTAAACACACATGGGATGTATGTCAGCGTTTGCACCAGCAATATTGATAATAAGTGAGGGAAAGACCTTGTGTGTTTGTTAATTTTTAAAGGAGATAATTTGTGAAACTACATGCAATCTCATATGGAATTGGAGTAATTAAATGGCTAGAACCATTGTTCTTTGACCTTCGTATCCTAAATCTGTAACTTAGTT